AGGATCAAACATCAGTCATTTTGAACTAAGATTTTTTTATATTTACAAAGGGCATTAAAATTCTATGCCTGAGGTTTATGGGGCTTAGATAGAGATCCCAAGACATTTTTAAGGTTTCATGTGAATATTTTCTGTTTTCTTTCTAAACCTGATGTTATATTTTAAATGAATACCACAAGCATATACATGTTGTTAAGGATTGATTTGCACCAATATTTGTCTATCCTCAAGACAGATTATTACTCTGTAAAATCGATGTAAGATTCATGGGGTTCTGAGGTTAATCTCCATTTATGATCTCAGAAGCATATACATTTTTTTTGGTTTGAAATTAATGTATTCAGTTCTGAAAATTGACGTTTCATACTAAAACTTAAAGGACTGTACCAAAGTATTTTTAGCATAACAGGACTTGAAATTTATTTTTTCATTAATGTTCCATTAGATGTAAGTCAAGCTCAAAAACCTGTACACAAAATTTCAGATCATGCGCTCTCTCTGTTTTCCCAGAATAATTATTCTAATTGCGGAAAATGACCCACAATTGAAAAGCATTACGACGATGTTCATTCAAGTCAGGCTAAGAAAAGCACAAAGTACATGTATTTATATTTAATTCTTTATTATAGTCTCATCTATGCACATATATACATAAAAAACATTTGAAACATTGAAATTGTATATAGCCATTCTCGAAAGAATTACAAGACTTGTTATAAGTAATACTAAGAGGGATAACTCTACAGTTAATATTATAGAAATGTATAATATGTACTGTAGATTTACCTCCCTTATTTGCGTATATTCACATTCTCAACATTAATCTCATATAAATCAATTGCAATGGGATGAAATAATTGCACATTGTCATTATTTAAAAAGTTATTTGAGACCTTTGATAACAAAATTTCAATAGATTTTTTTACATACTAAAAGTTTGATAACCTCTACTGACCTCGACTTAAAAACTGCCATAAGAAATTATACTGTGAAATACTAAATTTTGTAATAAAAGCACTATTACGCAATATAAAAAATGTTTTTTTACAAAATCATTTAGCACGGTTAGACCATGGATGAAATGTTCAGTAGTGATTATCAAAACATAGGCATAAAACAACTAATTTATGTAATTTAAAATATATGATATTTCTATATTAAAATTTCTATGTGTTTAAGTATGATATTCAATTTATTTCTGAATCTATTTCTTAATTACCTTTTGTTCATATTTCTGTTTTAAGTGTCCCAGTTGACCTATGGAAAAAATTCAAATTTTGTTTTTTGGGCTTTTGGTCCTCAGTCCCTTTGACGAAGAATTTTTCCGAGCTTACAGAGGGCTAATGATCAGTCAAAATCAACGGCAAAGTAATGGTCCTTGGATAGTAACCGCTATTCATGGTCACGAAAGCACGCATTAAGATTAAAGTAAATACTTTCAGTATGTTAACAAAGGACCATAAATCAGTAAAACCTACCCTGGAGTTACGAGTTTTGGATAAATTATTGTTTCGGAAAGTGACATCCGATAATTATTCCGAAAACATGTATTTAGTTTAAATTGACTACATTCAGTACGCATGATCATTCATTTTCATTTATATTTCAAGCGATAAATTAAGCAAGATAAATTTGGTTCAAAATGGTACAAAATTGTGTCAGAAACCATGCTAGAGTTATCACACATAAATTAATCTATTAGAAAGTAATATTTTCCTCAAGAATAAGGGGCATTAAAGATACGTGTGGTGGGACAGTGCACATTATATTATATAGACTATAAAATAGGTCAAAAGTTGTTAAGGGAGAGAATATTATTCGATTAGACTAACTCTGTTGTTACAGGTCCGGACCATAAATGTTCGTCGAGAGGGGGTATCTTATGAAATGACCAAACGCTACCTTTTTACATCACTTGCGCTTCACTATTTTTATAGCTAAACAGTAGCTGGATCACGGGGGAGGAACCCATATGGATCTCAAAAATGAGCATCGGTAAAATGTGCGAGTATATGTAAATAAATGTTTTATTCACAACGATTTGTTCGAATGTTAAGGTGGTGAGATTTCGTAAAATATCTATATTTTGAGTCCGTTTATTGATGTTTTTTTTTCATACGCATTGCATGCAGAACCCACGACGAAAAAAATATCTCGATGTAGACTGCATAGAAATTCCAATACAAAAATGAGAAAGATATAGGCTAGTCAGGAGGGTAGAATCATATTTTGCTTTTCTTAAAAAAAGAATTTTTATTTAGCCATTAACCTTATTTTACGATCACATCTGGTGCAGCGGAATCTTTTCACAATTCACGTTTTTGTCGGCAATCTCAAAAATGTATCGACTTCTGTTTACATAAATGTACACAGTCACTACCTTTTAGCTGCTTTGACACATAAGTAATCGTATAATGTACACATTTCTACAAATGAAGGAAGTTGAATCATATATTAAATATCGAAACACATTTTACATAAAAAAATTGAACTTCAGATGTCGGTCTGATCATCGATAAACTAGGTCAAAAATCACTAGACTTCAATCCCATTGATATAAAAATAGTGCTCTTACGCGGAGTAATCGTTATCAGTCGCAAAAAAATTTTTTTAGCAGATATTCTGCACATAAATGTAATTTCTTTATGTTTTTGACTGGCATTTTTGCTCTATATTTAAATATATAACTCCGATTTTATATATTTTATTTGTCGTTCTACTTTGTTGCTTACGGCAATTATTACGATGTTGTTTTTTCGTACATATTGTATTCATTTGTTAGTTTTGTCGGTCAAAAAAATAATTGTCTTTGCAATCAAACTGGAACACTAACGCTTTCAACAAATTCCGGCGTGTGCTATATATAATTAAAACTTTATGTTCTTTATGTTAAGATGTTATTCGATTAGAGCCACTTTTCGATTGTAGAAGTCGAAATCCCATGTGTAGATGACACATCTCTGAACGCGCCTGAGGGCGTGTCCGTCGGAAAAAGGTTCACTTAAGGTTCCCAAACTCCTCCTCCTCCTCCTCATGATGAACTTATTCTTATTCTTATTCTCCTCCACCTTCTTATTAAAAGTTAATTACAAAATACATAGTTTAAATTATGAGTATATTATGGTGTTGAAGAAGAGCTACCTCCTCCGTCTCTGTCGGTCTACAACTGACGAAGATGAGGAAATGGGAACCTACATATATTGCCAACTCAATTGACCACTTTCATGCCGTCGTATAGTCATATAATCGTATGTGTCACTCTAGCGTATAAAGCTAAGTTAAACGTTATCGTATGATGAACATATTCGTAACGTGTATTGTCACCCCAGAGCAAAATGTCATGTTTCTGACAATTTCTTTGAGTTAATAACTTTCGTCATTATATACATGCACAATTTCACCAGTCTCTGAAGTTTAAAATCTGGATTTTATACATAAAAAAATAAGTGCAGCTTCAGAATTTGTCGGTGCAAAAACTACAGTAAGTAAACTTACATGAGTATTTGCATCCACGCTTTTATAGATAAATTTAAAATGATTTGATGCAAAAAGTATTAATACCACTTAAAATATTTCAACAGTGCATTATTAAAAAGCAAACTTATTTCTAAAAAATAAAATTTATATATAAATCTAATTAAGAAAAGTAACGTAAAGAAAACATTTTATTTTATTTATTTTAATTTATTTTATTCCCCTATTTATCCTTGTATGTCACCAATAACATTAAACCATATAATCTGTTTTTTTTTTTTTTTTTTTGTATTTTGTTGATATTTTATAATGATTGAAGTTAATTTTATTCAATTATTTATCAACTTTATATTTTTAAAAGTAGAATAGCTTAAAAAACATTCTGATTGAATTATAAGAGGACAACTTGTATGATAACATGTTACTGCAAATTCACTGTTTATAGCCTTAGAAACCGTGAGGCTTTGTGCAACATTTTGAATTAAACAGTTGCTAACATAAGTTTATCCTATAAAAACATGACAAAGGCGTGCTATCTATTTAAATACATGTATATTGGTCAAAATCATAATTGCTAGTATTTTACGTCTGGTGTGGTAGATCTACATCTCACATACATTTACAAACTCAGTTCATTCCTGTATATAGGTACACAGACCTCAAAATTACCCTTTTTAATCTAAAATACATGAATAAGTTGTACCATTTAGAAATGACAACAGTCGAAAACATGGTTCAAAAGTTGCTCCATACTTTACATCAATGTTATTATATTTTCTGGTCCTTTGGGATCATTTGTTTTACCTTTTTAAAGTGTTAAAAATGTATACCCCTAAATACAAATAATTAGATTACAGCCAATTTGAGAAACAATAGTACCTCACAGTTCATACTTGCAAAACATCCAACCTTACCAGTAGACATACACTGGTTTTGATGTAGTTCGTTTTGCAAGATAACGAAAACATAACACAATCTAACTTTAGTTTATTGTAACTATTAGCTAAGTCACTCGGATTACTTGTCCTTTATTTCTGTTTCTGACGTTCTGGTCGTGTTTTAATTTGTTGCCATCATGTGTATACTTACATTTACTTTGAAAGTAAAGAAAAGTAATACTGCCAAATGTACTAAAATATAAATCTTGCCAACAGTATTTGTGTTGCACTTATATGTCAGTATTGACTTTTTGATAGCTATTACTATAGTATTAGCAGTCAGTAACTGCTTAAAATTTGTTATTTTTGAATGTTCAATTTTAAACTTCCATTCATATGTTCATTGTGTAAAAGTGGTTCATTATAAAAAATAATGCATTTTAAACCAACCAAAATTAAAATTTAATTGTTTATAATAAACATCCTTAAAAGCATATGCAATGCAGAAAATTCAATACTTAAAATTAGAAAATTAATGCAAAAGCTATAGTAAGAGCACTTAACATCACTTTTTGCGTGCAAAAAGATGTAACAGTGGTCTTCAACCTAATTGTTATTGTCACGATTGCTAATTATCACAAGACACCGGTTGGTTGTTGTTGTTTCAATTCTCTTCTCTTCTGCCCTACTTATATTGTCAAGATGTGTTAACCACTTTACTTACGAAATTTGAAAAGATTCACCTTTGACAAAATTTTGTGTCTGGTAAGTATCTGATTTATTTACGTGACCAAACAGTAACAAAGTTTTTGTACATGTTGTATGTGAAGAAAAATGTCTAATTACTTTTTGTACATAAATAAATAATTATAATCTTTAAAACAAATTTTATAATACTTATTAATGATATTTTAACATTATTGTCATGTATTTGAAAGGATTTTCTCAAAATGAACAAATCAGTTTTTAAGTCTCCTGTAAAATTTTAACAAGCGCTGTCACAGGAGACAACACAGCCCGACTAATTGAATACTGGAAGCAGTGAAGAAATACAAAACAATGAAACAAATCAGTTATGAATAATAAATATAGTTCTGCATCAACATCAATAAAGCACCGCTCAAATGTTCTATATTTTTCACCATATAATATGCATGTAACCATATGAGTAAAAGTTAAACAGACATTTCTTTGCTCTAATGGAAAAAGTCTGAAGTCAATCTCTTCAGTAACAAAAATGATAATAGTATAAGTATTTTTAAGTAACATTATAAGTTCAAAGAGGAAATAATTCTTGAAATCAGGACGCTAGAGTTATGAACCTTGCCATGCATGATGAAATGACAAAAACAACAATTATCGTAAGTCTAGAATAGATACCATTTACAATAACAAGGATAATACTTACAAAATATAACAATTTTCAATATTTCAAAGTTTTCCAAACATTAAATGGATATTCTACTTGAAATATATTAGCTAGCATTGTCAGGAGAAATGTCTGCCTTGATGTTATTTAATCTACGGAAAGATTTAGTAATAAATACTAGAACCAATTTCCAAGATATGGGGGCTGAGCAGCACCGCCTGACATAAAAGTGAAATATTCTCAGTTGGAAAACTAGCATGTAATTGTTTAGTTAACACTATTTTTTTAGGTATTTTTATCTGTTTCTATCTCAAATCAATATATACATTTAAACAACAAACTCTGATTATTATTTACACCCAAAACAAAGAACTTTGATCATTTTTTACACCCAAACACGCGGCATTTATCAGCCACTTATACGTAATATCTTTTCACGTATACGTCTTTTATACGAAACAAGACACCTGGCGAGCCCAAGCTCTAAACAACTTATGATCAAACAAAACAATAAAATCACCACAAAATGAAGAACACAAAAATGAATATTTTTACAACTCTAAGATACAGTATAAACCACAAACATTCATCCAACAATATTAACTTCACACAATCTAATCAGCATCAGAAAACAACTTAAACTAAAGCACCCAATATTTACATATATCCTCAAAACAAAGCAGCAACTAATATAATCTTGACCAAACAAACATTCAACCAATATCAACCAATTATATCTTCACAAACAGATATAACTCAACAACCAAAACAACTAATTACAACCAATAAACCCTGATCAATTAAGATCACCACAATTATATTCAACCACTTCAACAAACCAACAAAACTGACTTCAAAACAACAAAATTCTCTTCAAAACAACAAAATTCTCTTCCCAATAAAAAAATAACCGCTACACACTATCAGCGTGTCTCTCCTAACTGATGTAAAATCTCTCTCAAAACGCGCATATTTGCTAGCTTAAACGATCTGACCTTTAAACATGATATTTACACTCTATTTAAAACAATGTATCACTGTAAAGAAATATTAACTCGTTGTTTCATCTACTACAATATATCACTGTAGGGAAATATTAACTCGTTGTAAGATACATATCTACATATAAACTTCATGATTATTCTGACAAGCATTATAAATCTTAGCACTAATGACAAAGTTGTTGATAATGAACATATGTAAATGCTTGAAGACATAGAGAAGTGAAAATTCTAAATTAAACAGGGAGGTAATTCAACATATTGATGATACAGTTATGAATCTTTCATATTTTATAAAATGGAAGTTGATATGAAACTAATTAAATTTAAAGTTTAAAAAAATCCTTAAATAGACATGAAGTAAGAGCAAGAAAAAAAATATTTTTCATTTAAAAAAAATCAAGTTCGGGGGGGGGGGGCGGATCATTCTTGACAGAAATATTTATTCTAGAATAACTTGTCAGACATGATGTTAGTAAGTAACAAACATTTGAAATCGTAAGTAAATACCTTAAGAAATACAAAAGTTATAGTAAAATAAAATTCTTTATCATAAAATCTAAGTTCAAGGGGGATAACTACAAAATGTGTGCTAGAGGTATGTCTCTTGTCACAGAAATAAAGACGCTATTGTAAAAAAACATTTTTTTTGGGAAAATAAAACTAAGTTCATGGGGAGATAGTTCTTGAAATGTTGGTGCTAGAGATAAAATCCTTGACACATAAAATTGGATTGATGATAAGGAAGATATATTTGAAATTTTAAATTCATTCATGAAGAAATAAAGAAGTAAGATTAAGACATAGTATTTTTAAAGAAAAATTATAAGTTCAAGTGGAGATAATTCTGGAAAATTTGCTCCCAGAGTTATGAATCTTGTCACATAAGAAGTGGTTGATGATAAGAAACATATATTTGAAGGATGATATTGATACTTAAAAATGAAAAAAGGATTTAAGCAAAATATAATTTACTGCCTCAAAACTTTAAAGATCCTGTAACACATTTTTATGGTTTTAAATCATAAATATAACGCTCAAATTAAGATTTATCAATAATGTAGGTTCCAAAAAGCATTATTTATAAAAATATGACCGAATTTAACACATCATGTAAATAAAGGAGCGTATTTAGAAATTTATTTTCTATAAAGTTAAAGTCAACTTTTCCAATTAGATGAATGCATATATTTTATTGATTACATATACTATGCACAAATATTTGCAGTACATATTTTACATATTCTTCGATGTTTGAAAATTGTTTTATTAGCATAATTATATACATATATATAGTTTCTCTTAATGTGGTTAACCACTTTCATCACAACATACAGGATCTTTAATATGACGCCAGGTGAGTAGGGCAGCTCTCTATTTACTTCGTATAGTCGAGCTAAAATATCAGGTTTGCCAAGGGGACGATATACTATACGCTCGAATACGCTATAAAATGTTGAACATGTTCAAAAATAATTTTTGACCTCTGCGTATTTGAACGTACTCTGACGCATGTCAGCGTGATTGTAACGTAAACGACTTATTTCTACATAACCATAACGTATATCTGCGTATGGACAATTTTCATCGTACGCTTACATACGTTAGCTATGTTTAGATTAACACACTAGGTTGTCACAATATGATTTAAGAAAGGACCAAATTACTTGTTTTGTTATAGTACACTTAGCTTCCCATACAAAGTTTATTCATTCTTTTATTCAAATTTGACATATTTAGTCAGAAATTAACGAATTTCATTAATTTCTGAGCTTAAAATAGTTTTTTCTCAAGCATGAGCACATGCCATACACTATAGTGTAACACACTGACGAAATACTTTGTTTATTACCGATAAATCCTAACCAAGAGTATTCTTAAATTGATCTGAAACTCCGTGACATGGTTTATTTGTAAATTATCTAAAGCACGGGACGTTTTAGATTACATGTTTCGTCCTGACAAACATTAAGAGGTGTGATTGTGCATATTGTTTATTGTATGCGCGGTCGTTTCATATGTCTAATCTCTTTTTATTTAAGGAAGATACTGCACACATTTATGACCAAATTTCTTTGTCCCACAAAGGTATAATTTATTTATGCGAACTCATACATTATGCATTAACTATAGCTTTCCAATGATATATACATGTATGCTAAAAACAGTGTTTCTCGTTTTAATGTTATGCCAAACGGGCAAATAAACATAATATCATGGTTACCATATAAAATTTGAAACTATCAACGGTAATAATAATTGGGTTTTTTATACACGATTGCGTTAATGTTTATATATAACATTTTATCTGACAAACTGAATAAAGACTTTGATAAATCAAAGATGTGTTTCTTTAAATATCGCATTCCTCGTTCAATTTAGTATTGTACACATCGTTAGAAAAACTATATGTGAGAAGATAAATCTGTAACTATACGAGCGTTGGTTTAATCTAAGACAGTCCTAATTTACAATTTAAATCTTGATGAAATTAATTCAAAATAATTCATTGACATTGTTCATTTGTAAGAACGACATGCTGCAAAAAGTGTTTTAAGTGAATAAATAAACTGCACAGTCAGATTATATATTTGACAATTCAATAAATAAGTGAAAACGTTAAAGATTTGAGGTAAGACTCATTATTATTATTAAATAGTGAAACTTGAAATTTACAACAGTCATATGTTCTGACGCTAACATAATGTCTTGTTCAAATCTTTAAATCAGATAAATCTGTTCAAACAAACAATAATGTTATGATTTTATATACAATTAATGATATACACTTACTTGTACTGTAGGCGGGTAAAACGACTTACTTTTATATGCCCGAAAGAATTTCGGGCATATTATGTTATACCCCTGGCGTCCGTCCGTCCGTCTGTCTGTCTGTCTGTCTGTCTATCCGTCCGTCCGTCCGTCCGTTAGCAATTTGGTTTCCGGAGCATAACTTAAGTTCCATTTGGCCCACAATATTCAAACTTCATAGGATGATTGTCCATATTGGGTAGAAGATCTCTATTGATTTTGGGGTCACAAGGTAAAAGGTCAAGGTCACTATGACCTTTAAACTGAAAACAGTTTCCGGAGCATAACTTAAGTTCCATTTGGCCCACAGTGTTCAAACTATATAGGATGATTGTCCATATTGGGTAGAAAACCCCTATTAATTTTGGGGTCACAAGGTCAAAAATCAAGGTCACTATTACTTTAAAACTGAAAACGGTTTCTAGAGCATAACTTAAGTTCAATCTGGCCCACAATATTCAAACTTCATAGGATGATTGTCCATATTGGGTAGAAGACCCCTATTAATTTTGGGGTCTCAAGGTCAAAGGTCAAGGTCACTATTTCTTTAAAACTGAAAACGGTTTCTGGAGCATAACTTAAGG